CACACCTCAGATGAGACTAAGGTGCCCTCTTGGTGTGGCCTGAGAGTAGTTGTCATCTCGACATCCTCATCAGGGATAACTAATGGCGCAAGAACAGATACATCGCGGAGTTCAAACTTATCAAAGTGCGTATTAGCACTCTTTGCTCGCTGAGCTGCTGCTTCGACGGCCATGGAGACATAGCCTGAAAAGGGGAAAATAGTTAAAGATTGGATCCTGTGATGCTGGAGCCAAGGTAAGTCATCGAGGCGAACGATGTTCCTCCATGTGGGTTCCAGATCGTTAGAGTAGTTGGCGAGAGTACCGAGGATATCGTTACGAGGAGCAGTTCTGTTCTTGTGTAGGTCTGTCATGCGGGATTCGTGCCAGTATTTGGACGAGTAGTTCCAGGGGTAACGAGGTAAGTCGCTCAACAGCATTGGCGGCTTGCCCTGCTTAGGGAAGTTGACAGCTTCAAAATCAATCGGAGCTCCCTTAGCAAATAGGGTGGCAGCAACATCCAGTGCCGTCTCTACAGCATCCTTTTTTCGTGCGAGGGCAGAAGCGTAAGGGATCTTCGCCGCATCGCCACCAACCGTCTTCAGGATCTGCTTAAGGGGTCCCTGGAGTGCGGAATGGGGCCCAAGTTCAACAAGCATGTTAACGCCGGTTCTATGGCCATCAATAGGCTCAAGCATGCTTTGTACGGCTTCATCGAACCTTACTGGGCAAGTAAGGTTCTGTACCCAGTATGATGCTTCGAGTTCAGTGCCGTCAATACGGCGACCCAGGAGAGAGGAGTGGAATCTGACGTCGGTTGAAATTGGCCCTTCAAGCTCATCGATTGATGCTTGGTAGTCCTTTGCGAGCAAGTTCATATGGTGGGAGTGATAAGCCGTGTCAACGAAAAGTTTCCTGTTAAAGAGTTGCTTCTCTTCAACAACCTTCTTCAACTCATCAATACCAGCCTCGTCACCGGAGATGGTGAGACTGCTAGGGCTGTTATAGCACGCAATCTTGACTTGACCTTCTTTAAGGTCTGAAAGTAGAGGCTCGAACTCTTCTTTGCTACCTCCGACTGCCATCATGGAGCCCCTCAAATCAGGGTATCGCTCTTTCAAGACAGGTATGAGACGCCCCCTGTGGTAAGCGATAGAGACACATGCCTCAAAGGTAAGTATACCCGCAGCATAAGCCGCACCGATTTCTCCACTGGAATGGCCAGCCACTGCGGTGGGTAGAATGTTCCATGATCGCATCAGATCAACTAAGGCTAATTGAATGGCGGTGCAAGATGGCTGGCTGATATGGGCCGCTCCGACTGCGGAAGTCTTCTCGTCTTTGCTTAGTTCTTCCACGAGAGACCAGGGAGCACCCAGCGTGCTCAAGCAAGCATCAGCATAGTCAATTGCATGTGCGAATACTGGATATTGATCGTAAAGCTCGCGGCCCATACCATACCACTGCGCACCTTGACCAGTAAAGATGAATCCGATCCTTAGCGGGTCGACCTCCTTTCCGGGTGTGATCTTTTGGTTGTTGATAGCATCGATGAAGTCAAACGACCTAAGCGCGGGAATTGCTACCCGATATTGTAGAAGAGAGCGTCGTTGGCCTAGAGTGTAAGCAACGTCCGACATCAAGTCCTTTTGGAACATCTCAGGTCTTTGCTCCAGGTAGATAATCAGACTCTTCAAAACCGCCTCTAGCGCGTTCTTGTCATTCGCGGTGACCGGGAAGAGCTTCCTTCCAGGATTGTCGTTCTTAAGATCAGCATCGTTCTTAGAGCCCTTCTGCGTGAAGGGGACCTTTTCAAGGACGACATGAGCATTGGTACCACCAAACCCAAAGTTGTTGACGCTGATGTATTTCTTATTCCGTGGCCAGGGGCGTTGGTTAACGGGGACCTACGTTCAATAAGTAAATCTTCCCCGGAATATTGCAGTGAGTATAGGGGGAAAACAAACCTTGAAATTCCACTCTTTCCAAGGAATCTTCTCATTCGGGTATTTGAAGTCATAATTAGGCAAAATGAACCCTCGCTCTAACATGAGAGCAGACTTGATAATGGCGACAATCCCAGAAGCGCCCTCAAGATGACCGATGTTAGATTTCACAGATCCGATGAAAAGGGGATCTCTCGGAGACCTTGCGGCACCCAATACATTATGAATTGCGGTGGCCTCGATCGGGTCACCAACTCGTGTCCCTGTTCCGTGTGCCTCCACGAAGCCACAGTCGGCGGGGTCGAGTCCATAATTAGTATATACTTGGCGCATCAACGTTTCTAAAGGCGTTATGTTAGTTATCTTGTTCTGTGCTTCGAAGAATATTGTTGCAACTTTACCTTGTGCCTCCCCAGAGGGCATCGTAATACCAGGCGTCTTTCCATCCTGGTTAATACCGCTTCCGACAATGATTGCTCTGATTTGATCGTTGTCTCTACGGGCCTGGTCGAGAGGCTTGAGGATGACCATACCACACCCCTCACCACGACCGAATCCTGTACCTCTGTTATCGAAGGAAAATGATCGACCTGAATCCGAAAAGAGCCTAGTGATGTGATGAGTACTAAATCTGATACTTGAATCGGGATCCCTTACCTTGATTTAGAGAAGGATATCCAGAACTCCGGGAGCATATTCAAATGACAACCACCAACTATCGCCATGCCCGACTCACCCGCGCGTAAGCTCTGACAAGCCACATGCAGTGCGACGAGACTAGAGGAACATGCCGTGTCTGTTGTAAAACTGGGCCCGCGAAGATCAAAGAAATGCGATAATCTGTTAGATTGCATGGCGTACGCGCAACCTGTCAACGTCATCAGCGGAAGCCAACATTGTCAATATTCCTTGGCCAACTTACCGGTAGCTTGATGCATGGGAATAGTGTCCGAATCTCTAAACAAGTGAGATTCGTATTCCGGGAATGATCCACCAACGAAGACTCCCACGTCCTTGCCAATGATCTTGTGCTTGGGAATACCCGCGTTTTCGAGCGCTTCGAACGTACATTCCAAGAGCAGCCGTTGTTGCGGGTCCATAGAGATGGCCTCCTTCTCCGTTAAGCTGAAAAAGGGGGCGTCAAATGCTTGTAGGTCTGTGTTCAGAAAGTGACCCCCCACGGGGTTGTGGGAGCCAGCTTTCCCCGGGTTCGGGTGATAGAAACTGGCAGTGTTAAACCGCTCCTTTGGTATCTCTGAATAGCCACTTCGAGCTCTAGCACACAGCTCCCAGAACTCAGCCGGGCTGGCTACGCTGCCCGGTAGCCTACAAGACATGCCAACAATGGCAATAGGCATCGCCTTCTCCTTAGGTGGCGACGCACGGCTCCCATTCACGCCGTTTGTGTGTCCATTGCTAAGACCGTTGCCGAGGCCATTGGTCTGGCCAACTCGGTGACCGTTGGTCTGTCCGAAGGGTTGAGTATGATACCCATTGGGCTCAGAGTGGCCATTGCTATGTGAAGAGCCATTCGTGAATCCGTTTGTATGTCCATTGGTGTGCCCGTTGGTGTATCCGTTAGTAGGAGCTCTCGAATCCTCGTGGACTCCGTTGGATGTGCCATATGCACTGCCGTTTGTGGCTGACGGGGCCATGACTACGGATTTCGTTGCGACGGTACTATAGAGCCCAAGAGTACTCTAAGAAAAGACTGACAAAGATAGCATTTGAGTCGAGATCGTGGTTTATATTTCTGTCTCAAGGAGAGCCGTCCGAACGCGTAATAAGGTCGTGTCCTCGTCCGGGATCCCGAGTGGGCTGTCGTAAGTCACAATAATAAAGCCTGATATTCGGAGGATAGGAAAATCTTTCCACCCTTAGCACGGAACCCCATGGATGTAACTTTAGGCAAGTAACTCTTCCACAGATCTGAGGGCGTATATCGGAAACGTTTACACGGGAATGGTAGGATCCAATAGTCAAGTTGGTCCAGTTGTACCATTTGTCATCCCTGACTATCACGGTTGCCACGATGCCGATCATATTGACAATTTGTCTTAGACATTACACACCAATCTCCTGCCCTCTCGCAGGAGCCCAGAACCCAGAAGCTCATGCAGGGGTCGAGATACTGGTTCAGAACACCTATAGAGAGACCTCGTCTGTCTAAGTCACCCCTGCAGGGGTAACCGTTCATCTACGGTAGGAGGATGATCAGGGTCCTCGTAGCTTACGACTCGCTTACACGACGACATCACGATAGCAGATACTGACGTGCTCTTTTACCGATATCACCGGGAGGGTCTTCGTAACGAATCGAGATACTCGATGAGGAAGCTGCCCTTGACCACGTATGGCCGAAACGGAGCGGGAAGATATCGCCGATCTATTTACCATTTATTGATAATACCTGCATCAAGGCTAACCGAGTTCGAGTGCTAGATCATAAGGGTTAAGATTGTCAGCGTATGTAAGTTGAGTTTCTTTTGTTTGATTTCCGATCTTGCAGTTGATTCCGGAGGTTTTACACGACCAAAGGGGTTAAGGCAGATAGAGATTGAGACATAGATATTGCGATGTGACAGGGATTTAATGTGGCCGCAGCCCGATAAGGATGCGTTCAAGGCTCGCGTCCCTGGCATATGCTGCATATGCTACTCCTACGTTGTAGGCGTACGTAGTAAATACTACTACATACCAAACATTACCATCACCACCGCCGAGATAGAACCCTTGACGGCACCCAATATGGATAGATTGTATAGTCCCACCCCGCGCGGCTTGGCACCCGGCACTTTGACCTCCTATGGCTCCATTCGTGGTCGTGGCGCGAGTGGGGGGCGCTTACCGACAGCAAGAGCACAGCAGTCTACTACGTAGTAGGCTGTTATCATATCCAATAACGGCGGTCCAGCCTAACTTATACTATTTCTTACATTTATACACGCTATTGGCGTTTTTATCCGGGTGGCGCCGAAGCCTTACCTAAAACAACGAAGATCTGATAATAGAGACGTTAGACTAAAGCCCTATAGGCCCAAATGGAGTTTATAGACTTGGAAAATCCCGTGGAATGTCCCGGCGTGTCTCGAGATATAGAGCCTCAGCTCACATGTCACAGGCCTAACGAATGGCCAGGGGTGGCTTGTTACCCACGACATGTAACTCCGTCTGATAGGAGTTGGCGGATGTTGCCACTGCATGAGCTCCTGCAGCAGCTTTTGCCAAGATCTACCTGGCTGAGGATCAATGTATCTCAAACGAACTCGTTAGTCTCCGGACTCTTCCTACGGACACCCCCGGAGGGGAGCCGGGACGGTAGAGTCTCAGTTCCAAACAGAGATATCAAGTAACTTATACGTAAACTAACACGTAAGCTCTCTTCCGTGTTTTTTTACTCTTCAATACGCGCAATCACTCATTTTACTGCATTCCTTGCTTTCTCATGCTTGTTTCTTATGGCTGCGAGTTCCCTTTTCTCTTATCCAATTCGGTGTAACTAGGTGCACGGCTTTTTAGAAACTACCTCAATCTTGCAACATGAAGTTCCTGTGTCTTCCCGGCGCATATGGAAGCGCTGATGTAAGTCTTGGTATTATTGGGACATAAGATACTCCACTAACATGCAGTTTAGAAATTCCAAGTCCAACTAGGTACTGCATTCGCTGTGTATCGTATACACTTACGCACTTACTGACGAAATTTAGCACCTCTCGTCAACGAACTGTTGTCTGATGATACTGCCCAGTTTCGTTTTGTCGATGCGCCATGTGAGGCAGTGCCTCCAGAGGGGTTCGAGGACTTCTTCGGAAAGCCCCCTTACTATCGCTTCATCGAACCAGATGAGAAGGGGACAAATGATACTGATGTCTTGTCTCGAATTCGAGATTTTCCCGAGTGCGATACGGCCGAAGACACAATGCGAGAACTCATGAAGGAGGGTGTTGCAAGCAGTGTTAGGAGTACGAAGAGGGCGATTGAGTACCTATTTGAGATTATGGAGAAGGAAGGTCCCTTTGAAGGGATTATCGGATATTCTGAGGGGGCTACCGTTGCTTCAACCTTTTGCCTCGCTGAACAGAGGCGGTTCGAAGAAACCGGAAGGAAACCCCAGATCAAATGCGGCGTTTTCTTCGCCGGCTGGCCACCTCTGGACCCTGCTACATATGCTATGGTTCTCGCGGATGAGTCTGATCTAATGATTAACATCCACACCTGTCACATCAGTAAGACTTTGAACACACAGCCTCAGCAACATAAACATGCTAACTGCAACTCTAGTCGGTTCCCTCGATCCCTATGTCGCGGGCTCAATGGCTCTGTATAATACGTGCGAACCCGACACAGCTTACATCTTCGATCACGGCAAAGGTCACACACTCCCAAGAGAAAAAGGCGTTATCAAGGAGCTTGGAGACGTCATCCGTAACATGATCGCAGATGCGTCAGAATAGAATTACATGATAGAAACCCATTTTAGATTGCCGCAGCTGTTTAGTTTATTTCCCGATGTAGGTGTAGAGATTTTCCATGCAGGAATTATTGTAGAAGCAATATAATTTACCCTTTACTATATTTAATACTTGTGTACAGAAACTCCGTGACGGGGTCTATTTAGAATTGGAATTTTCCATGCATGATGTAACCTCGCTCGATTTGGCGGCAGCATTGCCTGTGACAAAAGAAAATACAGTTAATTAGCCACCTCCCGTACACGGCCGTTGCTTCTGCCATCCAGCTCTTAAGGTAATATCCCGTACGTAGCTATTGGAAAATGGTTGCTTAGGTATATTGAAGATGATCGGCAGCTAGGGACACGGCGACAAGGGAGACCATCCAATACTCCCGAAACATGCAGACGGATAAGGCATGACAAGGGGGCCCTGCCAACGGCCAATGGGGTATATCGGCTCAATTATTTTAATTGATGCTTAATTTTCTGAGATTCTACTTAGCGGAGTATGCCTCCGCCACATGAACGCGTTTACCCACGGCCCTCGATGGTTGGCCATATGGTAAGGGTCCCTTTCACATGGTAATACTAGTAGCTAGTGTAGTCCTTGTTCCTAGCGATTCCAATATCTCTCTGACAGTTTGGATTTCTTGAACTCTCCGATTTACCCTAGCCCCAATCACCAGTTCTTGTCGTTTTCTTGTTAGAGCCCCTGTTGGATAGTTGCTGCATAGGATTCCGAATTGCGCCTTGCGCACACGTAATATGGAGAAAAGAAATACCGACCTGGAAGAAGCATCTAAGAAGCCACACGATAGTGCAAGTGCTTCTGACAATGGACCAAACCCGGTTAATCAAGAAATCCCTATACTACATGTGGTACAAGGAAGTAGCACCACACCGGATTTCCCCAGGGGAGATACTTCGGTGTCAATACCGATGGAAGCAAACCCCCCTTCACCCTCTATTACGATAGAGACCTCAACTATGGACCTTCTAGCAGCATCTGCACCACCTGGCAGGACAGCCTCGATAACCTCAGTGTCTTCAACAGCCTCGCTGTCGGAATTAGGGGGTCCCGCACGGTCTGCTAACCCACGCCCTACAATAAACTTGAAGCCGTCACTATCATCACTCGCTAAGCCTCCAGAGTCGCAAGCTGGAGGAACAGCTCTCTCACCAATCCCGTCGGCGTCCCCTGGGAACAGTGTTGCGCCAGGTTCACCAGTCAACGCACCTCAACCCGTTGCCGCTCCACCGTTACCCCCTAATTCCAAGGGTACCACACCGTCCGAAACGGAAAAAATTAAGAAAACAAGTTCAACTTTCTTCGTAAGATTCTCTTCAACGATAATTCATATTCATACTAACAAGGAAATAGAGGATCTTTGGCTATACGACATGGCGCGACAGGGTGATGCTATCGGCTTCGGTGGTGGCCTCAATGGGGGCTGGTGTTGCTTTCCCCCTAATGACCCTCGTATTTGGTGCGATAAATTAGAGCCCTAATTGCATTGAGTTAAGACTTACTGATTCCTTAGGTCAACTCGTTGGAAGCATCGCAAGTACCAGGGCTAATCTAAGCGCCGAGGGTTCCAAGGATCACTACTCTCAGCTCATAAATGAATACGTGTAAGTGCTATAATAGCTTCTGTTCAAACGTAGCTAAACGTGAACTCATTTAGTCTTTTCATGGTATACCTTTTCATTGGGAGGTTTGTATTAGGGTATATCGGTACCGTAAGTGGACTCCCCTTTAAATATGAAATTTCATGTGTTAATAGACCCCAAGCTAGGATTCCGCATGATGGGTTTCCGTATCTCTTCGGCGATGCGGCTGGCTTATTTCAAAGCTCTACTCAGTCTGCCAGTATCGCTGTTGGACACTCAACCACCTGGGCAAGTGGCTGCTATCATAACAACTACGGCAAACACACTTCAAAATGGGATATCCGAGAGACTGGCGGCAATTATTCAAAACTTGTCCATGTTTATTTCCTCAATTGTCATTGCCTTTACCCGCAGTTGGAAATTGAGTTTAGTTACCAGCAGCGGCATGTTTCTGATCACACTATGTTACTGCGTCACCATCCCCTTCGTCGTGAAGAACATGAAGCAAGTCGAAGAAGCAAATATTAAGGGGTCCGCAGTCGCAAGTGAGAGCTTCGGCTCCATCAGAATGATTGCTGCATACGGTGCTGAGGTAAAGATGGTAAAAAAGTATCAAGAGTGGGTTGATGAGGCGCAACGTAGGGGCCTTCGGCTATCAAAAATAGTTGCCTTTCAGCAGGGCACCAGTGAGTAATACACCAATCCGACGATACATTAGGTACCTATTTTTACTAACTCGAAATTTTAGTTTACTTTAGTGTATACGCGTTAGTATCTCGAGTCCTAGGTAATTCAAATCGGATGCTAATAGTTAATAGAACTTTTGCCTTGACTTTTTGGTATGCTGTCAAGATGTTGATAAACTTTGAGATTCCTGATGTGGGAACATTAATCACGTTAGTTTACCGTTAAGACTCTTATTATCCGTCGCTTACAGTTTCACAGCGTCTTAATGTGTATAATGATGATAGTCATGGGGATCGGTGGGATCGCAGCACCCATTTCTGCTGCTGCTCGAGCAGCCGGCGCAGCCAGTATCCTATTCAACGGTATCGATGCACCGAAACAAGCTGTCAGCGGGCTCAAATATCCCGATGTCTCGGCAACGGGGGACATTGTGCTCTGGGGGGTCAATTTTACGTATCCCACAAGGCCCACGCTCAAGGTTCTAGATGGATTGAACTTGATATTGCCAGCAGGTAAAACCACAGCTATTGTTGGTCCTTCAGGTTCTGGAAAGAGTACAATCGTAGCTCTTATTGAGCGATGGTATGATTTGGATGGAGACTCAGAACAGAAAAAATTGGTAGGGATTCTGATACTCTCGAGCAAGCCTTAGTTGCTAACCTGGCTACCGTATATTATAGGTCCAATTTTTCCGTAATGGTTCAGTAACAATTGGCGGCACAAAACTGACTGACATTGATTTAAAGTGGTGGAGGTCTCAAATCGGACTCGTACAACAGGAACCCTTTCTCTTTAACGCAACTATCTTCCAAAACGTCGCAAATGGCCTAATCGGAACAGAATGGGAGGATTGCGACCTTAACAGAAAGAAGGAGTTAGTAGAATACGCCTGCAAGGAAGCTTTTGCCGACGAATTCATATCTCGACTGCCCGAAGGATATGATACGCATGTAGGCGACGCTGGCATAAAACTAAGCGGCGGTCAGCGTCAAAGACTCGCGATCGCCCGAGCCATAGTTAAGCAACCGAAGATCCTCATCCTAGATGAGGCGACGAGTTCAATTGATGTTCGTGGCGAGAAGGTTGTCCAAGCTGCGTTAGACAAAGTATCTCAGAACCGCACCACGATCATGATAGCTCACAGGTTATCAACAGTCAAGAAAGCAGATAACATTGTGGTGCTCGCCAAAGGTAAGGTTGTCCAGTGGGGAAACCACGAGAGTCTCATGGCTCAGATCGGCGGACCTTATTGGCTTCTTACCAATTCACAAAGACTATCAATGGGTGATGAGTCCGACATTCCTGATGCATCATCCGAGGTTACGGAAGTAGAAAAGCGGACTATGGATCTCATGACGCTTGATGAGACCAAAGCCGAAGTTCGGGATAGCGAAAGCACTGTGGTCGAACAGCCGGCACACAAGCCGAAGGGGGTGATGGGAAGTTTTGGTGCTATGCTCGTAGAGCAGAAACCGTTCTGGCCATGGTATGCAGTGATGGCTTTTGGTGCTGTCGTCGCTGGTGGTGAGTCTACTATAATATTTCAAAGCTTGAATTTTACTAATATGTATAATAGGGAGTCCACCCGTTCAAGCCTTCATTTTTGCAGCCCTTATCTCGTCCTTCGCGTACTGGGGCGACACCTTGGTTGCTGTCACTAATTTTTGGTGTCTCATGTTCGTCGCGCTTGCGTCTGCAGCGGGAGTAGGCTACTTTGCGTTGGGATATTCTTCTACGGTTGTCTCCTTCGTAAGTCTACTGTACCCATTCTATAACAGATTTCTAACTAATGAGTACAGTACATAACTTCAACCTATCGGCGGGAGTATTTCCAAAACATTATTTCCAAGACCGTGGCCTGGTTTGACGGTGATGGTCGATCAATCGGTGCTCTCACCGGAATCGTGGCCAGCGATCCTACACAGCTTCAGCAACTACTAGGAACGAATATGGCTTTTGCGGCCATATCGATTCTCAGCGTCCTTGGGTGCTTAATCATATCCTTCTACTTCGGATGGAAGCTCACCATTGTTGCTCTATCGTCTGCCATGCCATTGGCCTTGGCTGCTGGGTTCTTCCGCATTCGTGTCGAAAAGGGGTTCGAGACCATGAACCTAAAAGTCTTTGGCGAGAGTGCCAAATTCGCCACTGAATCTATCGGAGCTATCCGTACAGTAACGGCACTTACTTTAGAGGACAGCATCTGTCGCAGATACGAAGAACTACTACAGGCGCATGTACAAAAGGCTTTCAAAAAAGCTCGTTTCGCAACTATAGTGTTTTCGGCAAGTGATAGTTTGCCATTCTTATGTATGGCCTTTGTACTATGGTATGCTTTCCCAATGAATTCTACGTGCACTTTCATAGTTAACTGACGACTATTTAGGTATGGAGGTACGTTGCTAGTATCAGGAGAGTACTGGACATTCCAATATCGTAAGTTATGAATTACCGCTTCCACAATACAGAAGCTAATACGCATATTAAGTGGTTGTTTACATTGCTGTGGTACAAGTAAGCAATTTTAAGCATGAGTACCTAATGTATACAAATTAATTATCTAACCGAACCAATCTAGGGTGCCACAGGAGCAGGACAATGGCTCAGCTTCGTACCTAGTAAGTCTAGATCGAGGAGAAATCACGCCACGAAAATACTAAAACTCTATTAGATATTGCGCAAGCTACTGCAGCGGCAAATAGAATTCAGGCCATGAGACATAATGATAACGGCGATGGCCAGGGTGTTACTGTAAGTGACGAGGCAGTTGGTGCGGACACTCGAGGAGTCAAGATTGAACTGCGAGATGTGTGGTTCAGGTATCCAACAAGGGATGTTCCCGTGTTGAATGGATTAAGCATGACTGTAAGCGCGCCGCCCACCGGGTTACTGTGCCCTATGCTAATTTGACTAGATTAAGAAAGGTCAATTCGCGGCCATCGTTGGGCCCTCCGGTAAGTCTTGTCAACATCAGCTCATGATCAGCTCATGATTCTGAAACACTAATACCATTTAGGCTGTGGAAAAACAAGTATCGTCTCCTTGTTAGAGAGGTTAGTTTATTGGGTATTCCTTTATAAGACATCTGAAACTCATAATTATATGCAGGTTCTACAGTATCAAATCCGGAAGCATAACATACAATGATATAGACATTGACGATATCGATCTAAGAGACTACCGCAGAACAATCTCACTGGTGGCCCAAGAACCATCCCTGTTCAACGGCAGTATCAAAGAGAACATACTCCTCGGTGTTGACCCTGACACAATCTCCGACGAAGACTTGGAGCGGGTATGCCGCGATGCCGAGATCCACGACTTTATCAGTTCTCTCCCAGAAGGATATAATACAAAGGTAGGTATCAAAGGGGTCCTGCTATCCGGCGGGCAAAAGCAACGCCTATCGATTGCTCGAGCACTTATCAGGGATCCACGGCTCTTGCTTCTAGACGAAGCCACCTCTAACCTCGACTCGGAGACGGAGAAACTAGTACAAGGCGTCTTCGAGCGAACGAAGAAGAGTCGGACTATGATAGTAGTTGCCCACCGGCTTGCTACGATTCAGAACGCCGACGTTATCTTCGTGCTTGGCGATGGCCAAGTTCTAGAATCCGGGACCCATATTGCCCTCCTCCAGAAGCGAGGTGTGTACTTTAGCATGGTACGTCTGCCCAGGCCTTTCTAGAATTACCCCAATATCAGAAGCTAATTAATTACGATAGTGTCAAGCACAAGCTTTGGATAGGTAGATAAGGTTGCTTTCATGTTAGGTATCTACTATGTATTAAGCTTAGAGAGATGGCTGTAATAGACTAGGTACATAATAACAAGGTACATAATATTGGCAATACAATGTCTGGTGATATGGAGATCAGTAAACGCACATGATCTTAAAGCCCGCAAGGTATAGAAGGTGAAATACGTATTTACAAGTCATAGGCAAGATTGAATGTTCCCATCTGAGAAGAATGCATCATAGCGTAGTCAGCAAAAACTAAACCCTACGATCTGACGATGCAGCTCACAGGGGACGATGCCGGGGACCCACGCAGCGTTGCAATATATCAACCAAGATCGGCAGACGTTCTAGGCACTCTAAAAGTTGGTTGGGCAGGTCGAATCCTTATTTACCCTTCGATTTACAGGGTCCGTTGTATTCACCCCCCTGAATTAGCATAAATGCTGCATGTGCAGGGAACTTCTTCCGTTCCTGATCCTTCCCGGTCGCTACATACATATGTAGTTGGTAATTGTTGGTAATTGATAACGCAGTCTTATCTTCCGCTCCTCCGTGGGTAGTACTTAGCATCTACACCAGTATCTTACTCCGGGGTGGTCGTTCTCACATATCCGAACGTATGGGATGAACGAGCTGATATGCAATGACCCGCGACATGACCGAAGGAGTACACTGTGTATCACCTAACTTCTTTAGTATCTGCGTAGTATATGCGGATACCTATATCGAATCACATAAAAGGCACAGAGCACACAGGGCCGTGTTATCATCAGCTTGCGTAATCTCTAAATCTTCGGGACCGGCGTGGAACGGTCGTGACATTTACGGATCTTTCAAGTTTCACGACAGTAAAGCTACCTTCCCAGCCTACTTGACCCCTACTTGACCCCTGACCGTTTGGGTTTAACACGGCCGTCAACTCTATTCGTCGTTACGCTCACACCCCTCGCACCCCCTCGCACTGACGATGGGTAAGGGTTGATACCCGCATACATAGGGTATCCTAGAAGGCACTGATTGCCTCTTCACCTTTAGATATTAGCACCGGTAGATGGGTTCGTCACAACCCTGCTATCGTGCGTGGCGTGCTACTACTGCATTTGTCGCCATGCCGCTGGATTGCCAGAAAGGAGCGTTGAAGAACGCCGCGGCTTAATCCGGCGCTATTACACAATTGATCAGAAGTTTGCAGTTTTCTGCAGCCCTGTTTTTTTTAATTTTGCTATGTAGTGCTTCCCCAGAGATCACCAGAGCATAGGCCATTATCCACCCGGGAAGGAATTAAGTGCAGAATGCAAGGCTAGAACCCATTATCCTTTACATAATCAAGGAATATCTTCTATTTAACAAGGAAAAGCTCACGATGAGTAAGAACCATAATACTTGGCATATTGATTAGGTACGATACACTGCATGCGTGGGGGTAGCGTGGGACCCAGAGCGGTAAGTAAACTGGTTGGCGGATTTTCTCTATCACGAAACTACTGAATGCTCGTACGACGTGCGAATCACTACTAAGAAGGGAATGTGGTAAGTAGAGCTTCCAGTTAAGAAGGTATAAGAGTAACAAAATGAAGCGATATCAAGTTAGTTGCATAGTCCCAATGATACGCCCGCGGAGGGTTTCAGCCTCAGACCATAATAGTGTGATATACAGCTCTATCAGTATGTTACATAGCGCCGAGGAAGTCTTGAGATGGCGTTCTACTAAGGTCTAGACATAGTCGACTCGAATCCAATAAGCGCTCTAGAATGGTTTCTATATGTTGGAGCGCAGTACTTAGAGAAGCGCGTCAGAACTTGTGATGACGCGTCACCAACTACCAATACTCATTACTTCCGTAATTCCCAAAAGGTCTCAATACAGATACGAATCTTGAAATAAGAATATCACATTCCGTATATGGTATTATAAAGTGGTTCTTAAGCCTCTTATCGCAGGGCCTATGATCGTCGACTCAATCCACCTCGTCGGAACCCCATTATCCCTACTTGGCTCAGGATATCTCTGCTACAATTCCTACGTCCGGCGGGCGCTTAAGGTCTTATCCGGGCCGTTCCCAAGATGGCGGAATGCCATGGAATCTAAGGTGCCATATTTGATACGTTACTTCCGGCGCTCTGGTCCCAAGCATCATGCCGGTGGAGATTACCATCGTCCAAGAATCGAAAAGACCAGGTAGGGGATGCAGATAGGACCTTGGCACAATATCGAATAAACAATACGTACTTTTCCAACGATGGTTCATACCACAGAGTCGATACCTGGTTACCGCTTCAAGTTTACGATCTGTCTTTGGTTACAACTCTACAATCGAAGCCGCGTCACGTACAAGCTTCACCAACGCAACTCGACGCGGAGCCAGGGGTAACAATATGGATGTATGGCGGTGTACACAAGTCTGAATCGTAACTCGCATGTGAATATGGTATATCAAAGTGGAAACATCCCAAGCAAGGCGTGTATCCGACCAGATTGCGAGATTAAGCCACTCAGTTGTATCCGGTGGAGGTGTAACTCGGCCGCGTAAGCAATGGGCTATCAATCTGATATACTCTTGACAATGTGTATTAGGATAATATCCTAGCGAATTTCGTTAATTAGAGATGCACGTAAAAGCTAAGAGTAACGAGGCGGGATCTTTGAGGTTGAGAATTAGGGGTTCACTCTAACGAATACTCAAGAGACTACAACTATAGACTATAGTATAATCGTGTTTATAGTATTACAAGTAGAAATACGGGATATTATGTCTAATTCGGTGATTATACTTTAAAACTTGAATTTTATTGCGAAACAGAAAGCTCTTGTATAAACTTATAGTTACCCATTGCAATTGTATAGCAATATGTATTAGGTACTTATAGGGTTGTCTATAACAAAGTACTTAGAGTTACTAAATAAATCTAAATATTCTATTATTAATAATAGTAAGTCTTGGGACTGTATGTAAATAAGGTCATCAACGGGGAGCATGACCATGAGTCTAATGAGCAAGGAGAAATAATAATATCTTGCATCAAATACTCTATCAAACTTAACGCTTCCAATTTAACTTAAGAGCTCCTAGAATGAGTGGTCAAGAAGACTGCTCGGGGCATCCCGGCGAGAGTGTGTATAGATCAAACTTGCCCCCTTCACTCATGAAGAAGCTCAGCTAGATACAACAAGCATACATAGGTATTTTCACCAAGAGCAATTACACAATATTTCGACGTGTGTGGCAGATTCAATAAGGCACAAGTAGTATTCGACATGAGGGAATAAACGATGAAGGTATTGAAGTAGAAGTCCAATTCTTATCATCAAGTTTATTTCGTTAACTCATTCCTGTAGCCTGCATCCTATTCATCAGGCACCTAGCCATTAATTCCCAAAATACCTATATCGCTTCAACTTCATCATGCCTGAGTGTCCTCGTCCAATCCAGCATACGGCTGTTGATTATCCACATGCTTCTCACGTCCAGCGGGAGTGCCAGAAATTGTTGGCTTAGAGAGGAATCCTTTCTCAGCAGCCAACCCGGGGTCTTTCTGGGTGAAGGTCTTAGAGTAGCTCGCGTTCTTTTTCTTGTCCTCTGCCTCTGCGCCGATGCTATCGTCCTCCTGCAGGTTCTTGCCGTGCGGACCTCCTGGGTACTTAACGTACTGGTTCAGTACGTACGTAGGCGCTGGTTCAGCGTTTCTCGGACCCTGACCCGATGTGTTGGTAGTGGAATCTTGGCGAATGCCGCCCTCGTCGGGTTTTTTGGCGGATATTAATTCCTCATGGCTAATTGGCTGAGGCTCTGTCTCGTTGGCTTGGAGGAATGTTTGTGATTCTGCGGCGAGGGAATCCTTGGTTACGACACCGGTTGCCTCCTTAGATATAGGGGCATTTTTGCCGAGGGTGACCTTAGTTCCTTTGCCAGGTGGTTTTCCGGACATATTGGTTAATTTTGCGTCTTTGTGTGTTTTGTCTGAGGTGGTTTCGCTTTTTGCTTCGTAGATTAGGGAGGTATGTAAGTTGATTTGGCTGAAATTCGTACAAATTAATATGAGAGAAGAAAACAACATACAATTGTTTGTGATGCGCTTCTTTAATAAGTATTCCTCACAAGATCTCGAAGGGTTTTTGCTATTAGAAGCTTCTATTGTTGACGTCATAAGGCTGGCAAAACGTCACAGCTCCAGGATCATGACCTCACCAGGCTCACCTCACTTATTCCTAGTGTACATTATGTAACGATGGTGCATCTTTGTTGATGAATTTAATTAATGTCACATATAAGGCGTAATTGCTGGTTAGCAATTACGGCGTCGTTCTTGCGATGGTATATAAATGGTATAAGCCGGAGCTTTAAGTCCGATCTGTTATATCATGGCGCATTATAATACTTCTGCACACATACACTACGTATTATATTATCGATGCAGCTTTTTACCTGTTCGAACATATAATATTGGAAGTGATCGAAAATCGATATCAACACTGGAACGGCGGCGGCAACTCGCCAGCCTCTGCAGCCTCCCGCAGTGAGTAAATGGTTCCATACAGTCCACCGACGCAAATGAACCCACCCGCAAGGACGGTAAGTACGTTGAGAGAAAACATAATAGGATTCTTAATCCATCCGTCATATCCTCCGCCATAGTGATATGTGTCGTGTAACCAGAACGCTCCAGCGAGCCCGTAAGTGTCTGCAACAGCGTGGGTCAGCAAGTGTACTGTAAAAAGCAAGGAACGGAACTCAGGGGCTCAGATACATGTTAAAAGTAACAAGTCTCAGTTGATATAGAAACAAGCAATCATTCAAGACGAGAGGAAATTATTAAAATCAGTACGTACACCAAGCAGCGAACATAGATGCCGCAATGCCAACCAAGTAGTTGAAAATAGAAATTCCAACTGCAAAGAGGAATGCAACGGTATTAACCAGAAGTATGAGTAACGCCCAGACACTCCAGCCGGTAAAAGTATGCGAATGTATATGACGACTCCCTCTAAAGAGGCGAACAAAGACCAATTTGGCAGCTGTATGAAGATTTAGACTACCTGCTATGAAGAAGTTGGGAATCGCAAGTCCAAAGGAGATCTTAGACCAGAGTGGGCTTAAGCTAAGGAGGCTTGGGCTAGAGACTCCTTGACCAATATACCAATAAGTGACAACAGCGAACGAGATGTAGAATGAGGTTGCTACAATCTGCAGTGTCCATGCCGCCTTCATCGCATCTTGTGGACGCTTCATTTCTGAGATAAAAATGAAGAACACAAAATGACCGGCATAGGCGAACACGGGATTCGTCAAACTAATAAAAGCCGACGCAAAGTCGCTGGACCTTGTGATCACTATATTCCCTTTGTCAACGGGAACAGCTCCCGCACCTACCATCGCTACAATTCCTGCAGAAATAATGGATATCCCACCGACCACCCAGACCAAGCTTAGATTATGGAGAGTCCGGGGAAAGCTGCAAATGGCTACCGCGATGGTAAATATGCCAGAGAATGCTGTTGCGCACAGTTTCGCGTCTGATAAAACAGTCAGGGCGAGCTGGCCAGCAAGGATTTGAGATCCCGCAGAACAGACGGCGAATATGACAGTTCCCGCACTCAATATCTCTCTACCAACAGGCCCGAATAAGATGTTCCCGGCATCACCCATGTTGTGAACTATATACAACCACTTAGCCAACATCGGAGGCCAGTAAAGCTATTAGGGACTACGTACCTTCAGGATGTCGTAACTTAAACTCGATAAGCAACCATGCTGTGAAAGTAGCGAATACGCCGAGAAATGCAATAACGATAACACCGGGGACGATGCCAACGGCATCCAACGAGCTGGGCAAGCTCAACATACCGTTCGAGATGATTTCGGCGATCATCAGAACGGCAGTGAGCGGCCAGCTCAACGTCTTGTATTTGATATCATGATTGTCTTCTTGTCCGAAAACATCGTTGGGAAGTCCGGGACTAGTAAATCCCACCTCCTGGTCTACACGAACTGCATCATCACAATCGGTACCGTCGACTTTCTTCCGCGAGAGGGTATTGCCAGTCACAGCCATAGTTATGTATCATATACCGATTTGAGCTGTGTTACGCTATTATAATAATAATGCAATATCATTCTAGACGTGATAATATCCAATTACTCTCTGTCCTACATCTTACTGATACATGTGCGACTCCGCATCGCCTCCTTGGGCAATATGACGTTATTAGTAATGCATGCGACTTTACATAGGTATATCACACGGCATATTATAAGAGATAAGCTTCTCTTACCTTGGCCTCCCAAGAGCTCGGAGCAGTGGGGCAGATCTCGGCCGCTGTACCGACATTGCACGAGTCTGCGATAAGAGATGGAGTACGCTCTAGACTCCAAAGCGGAGCCGTGACGGATATCCCTTTTTGGAAGGTAATACATCTAACCCAAGCTCTAGATTGGACCATGTCTATAGCCGTATATTTGAGTAATAGCTCTAGTTTTTAGTCTATGAAACCTGTTATTCGATTGTTACTAAGGGATAACTTAGAGTGGCTGAGGTTACTGAGACTCAAGCACTTACGGACAGATCGATGAGCTCTACGGCGGAGATAGATAAGTAGGTACCTTTTACTCTCAGTCTATTTGCACCAGCTCACTTCCTACTTTCCCATATATTTAAAATATGAGGTGCTTCTATAGTAATTCGAGTTTTACTGTTTGGAAGGGCAGGGTAATTAGACACTAGGTAGGTAACTGACGTTAAGTGACGGTGTATCAATTGCTTTACTTGGTATCAACTGTTCACTAAGAAATAAACAGGACAAACAGGCAGGCCTTTCATTTCCTAAAATCGAAAATTTAGAGAAGTTATATTGAACTATTGATTCTCACGCGCATTTATAATATTGTACTGACAAACAACACTGCTCAACCCCGTCCCGATAGACATCTTTAACTCATGAGTCCATGAAAACTCACTGACATATACTATTTCCTTGTTAAGCCCATAATGAGAATAGCAAAACCATAGAAATGAGTTGTTATTTCCCTTCTTATTCGTAGTATAAGCCAGCACTTGCGTTAGTGTTAGTTAAGCAATCAGGTACGGACCGGGTCCGATCCGGTAATCGGGGACAAGCCCGGACATGTCGGCCCCACGGGCATGAAGTACCCAAACAGCGAACCAATACCAGTTCCGTAAATGGTCATAAGTGATCCCTAATTAGTGCGGGGTTTAGTGGGACTTAGCGTACCCGCATCGTCTTGGATCTGTTACTTCGCCAATCAATTTAGGGATTTTTGTCACCGGCCGATGTCGCCCAAGAATTTTTTGATCTCGACTCACCAAAAATTTACAACAAAGTTATAATCTTCTTTTTTCAAAGGCCAATCGCAAGTTGCCTATTTGCCTCGCATTCCTTTGGAATCGGCCTTAATTGTTGGAAGACCCTCCTTATCAATTGACATTATTTCAATTGTAGGAGAGAGTCTGCTGGTCTACCAACAACTCCGGCCCCTCGTCGAAGCTCACCATGGCTTTACATGCTCTCCTTCGAGCCAGAGCTCCGGTAGCTCTGACTCGGGGTGCCCTCGCACCGTCAAGACAATATGCGTATGTAAAACCGCCGTAATGCATCCCTAATACGTTTAACTGAGTATTTATATCATTAGTCGCCTTTTGAGCACGACGCCTTGTCGCCGTTCCAATGATTCCGATCTCAACAAAGTCTCCCGCTTCATCACACAACCTAAGGCGCAGGGTGCGTCGCAAGCTATGTTATATGCGACGGGCCTCGCCGAAGAGGACCTCTCAAAACCTCAGGTCGGTATCTCGTCTGTGTGGTACGAGGGTAATCCGTGTAATATGCATTTGATGGATCTGTCGGCTGTGGTTAAAGAGTCCGTTGCACGCGCCGGGCTTATTCCTTACCGGTTTAACACAATCGGTGTCTCTGATGGTATATCCATGGGTACAACCGGCATGCGCTACTCTCTACAAAGTAGAGAAATCATTGCCGACAGTATTGAGACTGTTATGCAGGGCCAATGGTACGATGCAAACGTTTCGTTACCCGGATGCGACAAGAATATGCCCGGTGTCCTAATAGCTATGGGCCGAGTGAACCGACCCAGCATCATGGTCTACGGTGGAACTATCAAGCCTGGTTGCAGTAAGTCTGGTGCGCCAATTGATATTGTCAGCGCTTTCCAGGCGTACGGACAATACATTTCGGGCGACATCACGGAAGAGCAGCGATTCGATATTATCCGACATGCATGCCCCGGAAAAGGTGCATGTGGTGGCATGTACACGGCAAACACAATGGCTACCGCTATCGAGACATTAGGAATGACTTTAACAGGTAGCAGTAGCAGTCCTGCTGATGACCCTAGCAAAATCAAAGAATGTGAGCAAGTTGGCGAAGCAATCAAGCACGCCATGAAGGAGGATATACGCCCGCGGGATGTCATGACGAGAGAAGCATTCGAAGAGGCTATGATCGTGGTAAACATCCTCGGAGGTAGCACAAACGCCGTCATGCATTTGATCGCCATTGCGGACTCCGTGGGCATAAAGCTCACAGTGGACGACTTCCAAGCTGTCTCGGACAGGACACCCTTCCTTGCCGACCTAAAACCGTCTGGTAAGTTCGTAATGGAAGACTTGCACAAGATCGGCGGTACCCCCGCCCTACTCAAGTTCCTCATCGGCGAGGGTGTCCTTAAGGGTAACAGTGTCACTGTAACGGGCAAGACGCTGAAGCAGAACGTCGAGTCCTGGCCGTCTTTCCCCAAGGACCAGCAGGTCATCCGACCATTCTCCAACCCCATCAAGCCCACAGGCCACATCCAAATCCTACGCGGCCAACTCGCTCCGGGCGGCTCTGTCGGCAAGATTACGGGTAAGGAGGGTCTTGTTTTCACCGGCAAAGCCAAATGCTACGACCAAGAAGACGATTTCATCCAGGCCCTTGAGCGTGGAGAGCTGAAGAAGGGCGAGAAGACGGTAGTCATCATCCGGTACGAGGGACCCAAGGGTGGACCTGGTATGCCTGAGATGTTGAAGCCATCGTCGGCTATTATGGGCTACGGTCTTGGCAACGACGTGGCGCTATTGACAGACGGTCGATTCTCCGGAGGTAGCCACGGTTTCCTAATTGGCCACATTACACCCGAGGCGCGCGAAGGTGGACCGATTGGACTGGTGAAGGACGGTGATACCATCACGATAGATGCCGAGAAGCGCGTCATCGATACCGACGTCAGCGACGCGGAGATGGCAGAGAGGAAGAAGTCATGGAGCCCCCCGCCGCCGCGATACTCCCAGGGCACATTAACCAAGTATGCTGCTCTTGTCAGCGATGCTAGCCACGGATGTGTCACTACAGGACACTAAGGTTCTGTTAAGCGTATATAAAATGATATTTGGGGTTGAATGCTAAAAAAGCAAGTGGGATGGATGTCTTGTATCTATTGGTCTTAGGCTATGTTATGCGGCGATCTGGTTTCTGGTCCGGAAAATAGGCGCATCGGACTCCGGCCGTTGTCTTATGGGCGGCAATTAAGAAGAAAAAAATCGAACAAAGTTCAAACTTCCCGGAAGCTTGTTTAAGCATTTAGAAGCGTAAATCTAAAATAACCTACCTGTTACAGCTAAAATTCACATGAGTTCCCTGTCGTAGAGTTAAGGTTGAAGCCGGCAGGGTTCGAGATGAGTGATAGATACACCTCCTTTTTCAATCAGTTTCATTCCTCATAATCTGACTAACCTACAAGTTTACAGACGTCTTGTATCGTACCTATATCCATCTCTTCTCTTGTCATTGACCATACACTAATCTCTCACATCTCACAAGCAATCCGATTCGCTTTTACCCCTATTCTTCCGCTCCAATGGAACCTTCACCACGTGGGGGGAAAATAATAATATCAATCAATCAATGCATCAATCAATGCATTAATCAATGCATGCTCCACCCAAAATACGTAACGATGACGTTAGATGACTACCAGCAAGCAAACAGCTTGTCCAGTCTGAGAATACATAAAAAGATAAAGGAGTACCGCATAACTTCATTTTTTGCCCTTATTCCAGGCTGAGACAAACGCCGCTTTATCCCGTAGCGTCAAGCCGACTCTCTTATTACGCGCGAGTCGGGCCAGATCATCTGTGACCTTATCGAGCAACGCCCGTTCCTCAGACGTCAGAGATTCACCGTCCACCTCATCACCGGTTTTATCCGGGATTCCGTTCGCTGGACCATCCCCGTTCGTCGCCGCAGCAGAATTGTTGGTCACACCTTCAGCGATGCGCACCCGAATAAGATGCGTAGGACGGCTGAGTAGTTTCCATAGGAAGGAAATATAAGCACCCGGGACAGGGGTTGTAATGTCGGGCGGCGTATACCGGATGCTGACGGGGAAGATCTTCGCATCGGCAGGCGCGGATAGTAAAGACGGGGAGAACGGGAGGATACCCTTGCCGTTCGTGGTGCTCATCTCGGGGAAGACGGCGATAACGCGGTGCGGGTTTTGCTCTACGAGTGCACGCAGGGTAGTCAAGTTTTTAGGAGACGGCAGAGAGAGCGCTGGTGGCGAGAGGGCAAGCAGGATAGCGCGCAAAAGGGAAACACGCTGGACCTTGCGGGTTCCCGGGAACGAGATGGTGAATATGGGGTCGAAGATAGCTGCGAGGTAGAGAGCATCGATAGGGCTCGTAAACTGCGCTGCAATGACGGAACCGCTAGAATTTCCTGGGAATCGCGAGCTCGGCTGCTGCGAAAGCGAGCCGCGCTTGACGCCGTCGAGCTGTAGATCCACCCACCAAATCCCCGGTATACCAAGGAACGTCCATAACAGCAGCTTACGAACGACCTGGGGAACGAGGAAAGAAGGTAGGTTGTCGAGGAAGATGAAGAACAAGGCGCTGTACGACAGGAAGAGCGGCAGTCGGAAAAGGAAGAGAGCTGTGTGTAAGAGCGAGGAGAGGGTCGAACTCGGCGTCGAAGAGGGAATAAAGGGCGAGATACCAGATCCTTAATGAGCAATATTAGTTAGTCAGGTACATACATGATCACATTAGAGACAATATAGTTAAGTTAAAGCTTACCGCGATCGCGGAACTGGCTGTATTTCTCCATCTTGTCTTTCTAAAGCTAGAACTATGGAGATGTGGCGTGTGATGATGAATAACTAAGAAGCTACCTAAGCTACAGTAGAACAAATCTGCCCGGCCTTGGGGTGTTTTTTTCTTTTTTTCTTTTTCGAGGCTACCGAGACATTAAGGAATAATGTGTGCCGAACGTTGGGTATAACCTAACGGTATTGTACGGGGCGCCAACGCAGAAGGTAGGTATGTATCAGTGTATGTACAGTAGAGGTAAGAAAATAGTGTAACGGGGATTTTTGAACCCGTCAGATGAAAGAGGACATGAATTAAGACGGTACGATGGCGTCAGGGGTTGACATTTGACATTTTTGGTGTTTGGCATGTGAAGAGACCTAACGGTTAATGCTTAACCTAACCTAATAAACTTTCCATGTGCCAACTTTGGGAAAGCTCAGACCAAGTAAGCTGATTCCCGTTCAGCCCGCTTCACCCGTTTCAGCCCCATAAAACTGTTAGCCTTGGCCGTGCTTTCCTCAAATCATGGGAGCTAACTATACAAAAGTACAAAAGTATACTAAGTACGAAATTACCTAAGCACGCGACTAAACCGTCCTAGTCAGAAGTTTTAATATTTCCGTTGCCCAGACAACATCGTCCTATAATCAACAAAGACGGGGTCTGCATAACCGACATTTGCACAAAGTCAAAGCTTTATCCCGCCTACAATCTACCTACACGCCATCAAACGCTACCCACTTCGCTCAATGGAAAAACAGTCTACCATTTCAAACCTAATTCATAATAACTTCAATACTATCTTAACATCGACCACTTTTCCTCGACCTCGATCTCGACCTCGAACTGGCGCGCGCTCTTCTGGAGCTTAATTGCTTTGTTATTTAATTTGCCTCCTATTTTGATTTTTGCTTTAGTATCTTGAGGGACGCCAATATGGAGACGGAGAGTGTGGTAAGTCATTTTAGCCCTAGTCCTTGAGTCGATCAGTACCAGTATTACTATCGCGTGCAAGAGTACAAATAGGAGTTAACTGTCGTCGCAGCAATTTAGGGCCAGCGGTATTCAAAAACCATCGAAAGTAACGACGGGAATACCTAGACCCGGGTCTATTTCCAACGTCAGCGGCCTTCACGAGATGACTAGTTCTCAGACTAATGTTCGGTCGCAACCGTCATCGTCGATTCCGGCGGCACATGGACTTAAGCGTAGTGTGCCGGCGCCAGGTTTGAGCGACCCATTTGTCTAATATCCTGATCGCGTATACTCACAAAGACAAAATACAGCTGTACAGTCCGATGCCAAGCGAGTACCTCTGTCCAAAAGAGCGGGAGAACATGCTAGTACCTCTATCACGACATACCAGCCTACACAGAGCTTGAGAGGTATGGCTCTGAAAGACGTGGTGAGTAACATCCTTTTAATTACAAGTTTCGAGAGCTCGATACCACTCCAAATTCCGACCAGAGTCAACACTCTACCCGTTCCATAACATCATATACCCTGACTAGTATGCTAATCCTCCCGGTAAACAGCCCAGATCCAACCACGCGAGCTTCAACGGTGCCTCAGTGTCCCGTCACACTTCGAACAGCAGCTATTCCTCCAGTACAAGCAGTTATGCTACGAGTATCAGCTCCGGCCATCGCCCCTCTTCCCGATCACAGTACTCGCATTCGCGAACACGATCGGCCGTGAAACCCGGACGGCCTGCAACTTCGATGGGTACACGTGAGGAAGAACAACCCAAAAGCAACAATGGTACAGTGCCCCCCGTAGCGCATGTCCGCGCAAAGCCCAGTTACAGCAAACTATATGGCAAGAAGATTCGGAAGCCCAAGTCTATTCAGGATGTTACAGACGTATCCTACGAAAAGTCACTCTCTCAAGATAGAGAAGTCTCTCTATCTAACAGATTCCAATCATTATCACTCAGCAAACAGAAGACACCTATACAAGGGAATCAAGCGACTTCTAACCCAGCCATGCCCCCTCCGCTCACGACCTTCATCCCTCAGACAACCCCCAGGCGTAAAAGGCTAAGTACCATGGAACTAAATCAAGCACAAGGTGAAGAAACCCAGATGGACCTAGTGGTCCCTACAACCCCAGCTAGAAAATTCATGGATCAACTTGAAATACACTGGAATAATATCAAGAAGACCCCAATCACCACCATGTCACCATCACCCAAAAAGGGACCGTATTTGTCTAAATTTTCTAACCTCACCGGGTTTGTAGTATCCGAGATCGAAGAGAAGCTCGGCAAAATGGACCACGAATTTCAGCAACTAAAAGAGTTCATGAGTGCTACGGAGAAGAGTAGTTTCAGCGTCAAGGAAGAGCTCGAGGTCGCAAAGAAGAGAGGTAGGTCACCGTGTTACGATACACCACGGTTCCATTATCCGCTAAGACGTAACAGTGGCGAATCTAGAGGACCAACGAAACGAATTGCAATTGGAGAGGGCAAAACTTATGGACAAGTTATCAGACGCGGAGCGCCAAGTCCGCAACCTCAACATCGATATCCAGGATCAGCAGAGACGCCATGATAAGTACTGCGAAGAAATAATCGCAGACCATGAAAGAAAACTGAGAACCAAGGTTGACGACTACGAACGGGAAATGGACAAGGTCGCCAAGCTTCAGCAAGAATTCGAAGAAAAATGCGGCATTGAGGCAGAAGCCAGATTAGACGAGCTGTCTCATGAGAATAAGGAGTTGCGGAGCGCCCTCGAGAGACAGAAGCGCGACCACGAACACGAAATTCGCTTACTCAACGTAGATCTAGACAGGCAGTCTCTTCGGATGCGAGATTTCGAAGATACTTTGAGGAAGTCCGAAGACGAGCAACGAATACTACAGGCTCACATTGACGAGAACCTCAAGACGATTGATCGACTCAGGAAACGAGCCGAAGATGCCGAGGAAAGCCTTTCCAAAGATAAAGGCCATCTAGGTGGACAGATCAGTCTTCTAAGTCAAAAACTGGACATCAGCTCGGAGCGTATCCAGAGCCTAGAAGAACAGAATAAAGTCATCCAGTTGGAATGCGAACGAAGGCTTCAAGAAATCGAGCAAGCAGCACAAAAGAAGATTGACGAGGAGACCAAGGCGTTGCGAGACAGGCTCATCAAGGAAGAAGAAAGGCGGCACAAGCTCTTCGAACAAGTACAAGAACTGAAGGGGAATATTCGTGTCATGTGCCGAATCAAGCCACCAGCAGACAAATCGAGCGATGCTCTGATCAAATTTAATCCGCGAGTGAGCGAGCTCGACGAGGACAAGATCGACGGCTTAACCATACCGACAGAGCGAGAAGACTTCAGAACGCCAGGTAAGATGATTGCTGGGGAACCAAAAGACTTCAACTTTGAGCGGGTCTTCGACGACAACTGCACCAATAAAGATGTATTTGACGAGATTAGTCAACTCGTTCAATCCGTCATGGATGGCAAGAAGGTCTGCATCTTCTGCTATGGCCAAACTGGGTCAGGCAAGACGTACACGATGAGCCGAAAGGGGGATGGTATCATCCCCAGAACACAAGATATGATATTTAGCGAGGTCGACAGACTGAAGGTACTAGGCTGGGAATACACTGTTGAGGGCAGCTATTTAGAGGTCTACCAAGACAAGTTGTATGACCTGCTCGCGTCTCGCAGCGCGAAGTCCGAGCCACTCACAGTAGATCCAATCAGCGAAGAGTTAAACATCAAGGGTCACTCGTTCACACTCCTAAAGGAAGAAAAAGACCTTGATGAAATGGTTAGGACGGCAGACAGCAACCGCCATACTGCCGCAACCGCCATGAATGACAGGTCGTCGCGTTCACATTCCATCCTAGTCCTGAAGATCTGCGGGGTCAAAAAGAACGAAGAAGGTGAAATCATCAGGACTCGAAAGGGCACCCTAAACCTGATCGACTTGGCGGGTTCTGAGTCCCCTGACAAGGCGCGTGGTGAACAGATCTACCGGGAAGGTGTCGAGATCAACTCGTCGCTGAGCTACCTGCGAACAGTGCTATCACGCCTAGGCCAGGGCAAGACGGAGGGTGTAGACTTCCGGTCTTACACTCTAACCCAATTACTGCGACCGTCGCTAGGGAAGGGCTGCCGGACGCTGATGTTCGTCATGGTGAGCCCTCTCAAGGAGAATGAGAATGAGACTATAAGGAGTTTGGAGTTTGCCAAAGACGTAAGTGATACCCCATGAAATTCTAAAAGGTTAAAGACCTTGACTAACGGTTTGAGCAGGCTCAAAAAGTCAAGATGGGCGGCAACGGGGGAGCCGCTAAGAACAAGAAATAAGGGTTTCAATACAAGATATATAACAACCGTTTCTTGTACCATAATTTTCCCCCTCTATCGAATTCTAAAGATTCGGGCGGGGGTCGTGTGAGGAATTTGCATACGCACATACCCGTTGTTGGTGGTTCGTTGTTTCCAAGGCGAAGGAAGGAGGGGAGCGATGCGGCGTTCAGTCAATCAGGGCGTTATAGGGGTACGGTAAATTCAATGATGATGATATTGTCGTTTTTATAGTACCACAGTTCAGTTGTTGTTCCGTATAGAGGATCGATGCGTCGATGCGTGTTTGAAGACGCGCTGTTGATATGGACGGGCTGAGTTCGATTAGTGGTATATTGAATATTATGGCTGTAATTATTAACGCGTTTTTTTGTGATGAGGGTTTGTGACGGGTTTGATACTCAGTGATGGCGAAGTATTGTGTATGACTCCTGAGGTAATTCGGAACTGTTAGGGCGTAGATATATCTGACGAGCTCAGGTTCTGAAAAAAGAGTTGTTCGAGTTTCTTGTCTACCTCTTTCTAGGTCTTTGGCGCACTACTAGACAGTGAGTAGCAGTAATGTCATCCGCGATACCCTAGAGTTACTATTGCTCGCAAGCTGTCAAGATCGTGCAAGACACTTTGAGGCCACCCTTAAACCCAGCAAAGTGAAGTTGTTTTGTGATTCTATGATGAGAAATTTCCAGTCTTAACATGATTTTGGTATATCCTCTTCTTGGAAAATTCAACGCGCTATTCAGATCTTCGTAACACCTTGAAGGATACAGGTATACATTGGTTGATACGCAATGTCGGCATCGTGAGAATATGCGTCACTCGATGCGGCGCTCTCACCTCATGGTATTTATTCTACTGCCATCAACCCGTCAGTATCAACTAGTTCAAGTTCTTCGATGTCCATATTCCCAGTAATCCCACTCTAGCAATCCCATAAGCGCACCGCACCGTAAGGTCCTACGGCGAGTCTACTTGCGCGTGCCCAATCCGGCTTAACAGGGGATAAGATAGGGACAGGGCAGGGCAGGGCAATCACCTCACCGCGCGCAGATATGGCATCAACGCCATATTGCAACACTTTCAGCAGCCGACCCCGTTACCTAGGTAGGTAGGTACATGTGTAGGTAGCTATCTATCTCTCTCGTCTCCAGTGCTATAAAGAGCTTGAGAAGTGCCGAAGGAAAAAAACAGGCTATTCTTGTGCGTATTTGTTTCCCTTACTCCATTGATCGTCGGTGTCTTGTTATTAAGAGGGCGTCATGCATGCTATATCGAATGCGCTGCCAGTGGCTGGTTTTTGACGGAGAGGGATGCCGGGGGATATGGCTTCTGGTTTAGGGACGGGATTCTTGTTACGGCTGTTAGGAGGCACTTGGAGCTGGAGTGGAATGTGTCGATAGAGTAAGTAAGTGGTGATAGGAGAGGCATTGAATGATAGTGACTGTTTAGCCCTTTGACGCTGGATAGTGTTGTTATTCTAATGGTACGGTGGGCTTAAGGTGTAGTTAGGATTCTTATTGCTCTACGGAATTACTTTTGTGTGACTTGATTGACAGTGTTTCATAGGAAAAGGCACGAGTGGTATATATTAAGAAATATTCTAGTTATTAGTTATAGCTTAGTTCTAGTCTTCATGCTATGTAGGTTAGGTACCTAGTTAATGACTATCCAAAAGTAAGTTGTAGAAGCCAAGTACGACGAATCGCTCATCGCCTGTTCTAGACTCTACCTGTAACTATGCACCTCTAGTAGTCTATCTGTCGAGTAGAGTTCCCGGGATATCTCCAAGCTCCAAGCTATATACAACATGCTCGATTAAGTACTACACGGCATTTATAAACCTTCGTCGCCATCACCATCATACTAGGCAAAGAAATCACCTGTATCCACCCACACTACCAACGCCCTTGGGAACCGGTAGCGGAGGCAGCGACAGCGGAATAGCGGTAGACGGCTGAGGCGGCGGCGGAATGGGTGGAAGCGGAGCCGGGACCGTCACGTTAGGGAACACGAAGCTTCCGTTTGGCCAGGGCCTTACGGCGGCGTCGTCGAGCAGCTTGCCTGCGAGATAGTACGTGGCGGTAGGCACCCACTTGACGTAGTCGAAATGCACCGGGAAGACATACAACGTGCCGGTACACACGAGATCGCCCGAGTTGCAGATGATGAGCGTCCGATTCGTATCGAAATCCTTGATTCGGCCCCCGTCTTGCCACGTCTGCGTGTCCCCGAAAGTCACTACGCCTACGATCCTGTCCTTTACCTCCTGAGTTAAGCCTTCGATGGCCCGGTGCGTA